GCCCTGCCTGAATTTGAAATCTTTGTGTGTATGGAGGGGGAACAAGGAAAGAAATGGGCAGCCCTTGAAGGGCTTTCTCCTCCCCACAGCTTAAACAGAGCCATCACATGCACTACAGCCTTCCCCAGCTATTCATTTTGAAACAAAACAGGCTTTAAACACTTATTTTCAGAGAAGCCTTCCAGGAGGTTTGCATACTTCTGCGGGTCCTTTTTGCAACATCATTCCAACCTATTCAGCTTTGTATTTAGTGCAAATTGGATCTCAAAGTTATTGCGGGTTACTCTGTGCATACCTGTAAGTTGCAGAATAGGTCTGGTCTTCTTACTGCGTGCACGCTTGCAAACTAGTGCGCTGCGGTACGGTGCAGCACTACGTGCAGGTTTGGTACCGGTTTATCCCGCAATGCTTTCTTTGCACATAAAAGCCCAAGCGTAAGCGTGTTGAAGTATAGAATTGAATTTAGATGTGCTGCGTCAGACTGACCCGGTGTGCGAGGCTCTCGCTGGGAACGCTTTCAGATGTAGGGCAAAATTCTCTTCTCAGATTCCTGGAGTAGCTCCTGACTCAGTCTCCCGAGTCTCCTGTGCTGACACGTGCAGGCGTTTTGTGGTGTGAAAGAAAGTGAGTGCCCTGAAAGGAGCAATCTGTCACCGACTGAGGAACGGACAATGATGGCAAAGCCCCAAAAAGAGCACGAGACCTTTCCTTGAACCAGTTGCTCTGCGTCTGAGAGAAACTCGAAGGGTTTGTGTCACTTGGGCAATGTGCTTGTAGCCTCTTCCTCCTAATTACCACTGAGCTGATGATGTAAGACTGCTTTGTGGATATGAGGACAGAATTTTGCCTGCAGGATGCACGATTACCAACTGTGCCTCCTCTATAAATCAGTTGTAAGTGTATTTGGAATAGCTGCCAGGCTGGCTTCTGCGCTTACCAGAGGACAGAGCTCCAGCAGATACAGTCCCACATGGCATAGAGCTGTTGCAGTTTTAAAATCAGTCTGATTTTTTTCTTTAACAGGGGAGCCCAGTGTAACTCCGTCAAGACTGGAGTGACACTCTGAATCTGCATCTGCCTCATGTGAGTTAAAATCCTGGCAGCAGCATTTTGCATAAACTGGAGCCTCTGTAGAGGTCTTTTTTTTTTTTCTTTTTTTTTCTTTTTTCCCTTTTCAGGAAGGCTATAAAATTGTTACTGTATGTGTCTTGGCAGCAAAGGTAAAAACAACGACACAAATGCATGAGAATTGCATACCTTACTGCACAACCCCTGCTCATTCCAGATCGGCTTCCCTCCTAGCACATGTCGTGTAAGGGGTGCCCGCACTCATCACAGACCTGAAGGCTTGCAACGTTCACTCCCGGGGTACTGCTTTTTACCTTTCAATTGTATAATGTTAAGCCAAGTGATGGTATTAAGGCGAGACTGAAATGCTGTCAACTGGCTTCTGGTTTTTTTAAACCTTTGGTTGTTTTCTTCCCACCCTGGTTGCATAATCCACGAGCGCTGGGTGCCGATTGCCCTGCGCTGCTGAAGCATCTGCCTGTGTTGGAACATGGACATATAACGTGGTCCTCTGGAGCCGGGGACTTGGCATAGCGGCAGAGACATGGCCATCAAGCAGTAAGAAAGAGAAAAAGAAATCAGAATAAGTTTTAGCATGTGCTTTGGTTTTACTGTCGTCCTGTGTGCGTTGGGCAAGGACGCTCTGAAAATGGGTTCGTGGCTCTGCCTCTTCACCTGTCACAGCACTGGGGATGCCTGAAGACTGGGTCCCTCTCAGCTGGGTGAAAGAGCTGAGCATGGGAGACTCTGCATGGCAAATAGCTGAATTCATGGCATCGCCATGGCACACAAATTATCTCCAGCTGCGGTCTCAGCATCCAGGTCTGAGGGAGGGGGATATTCCAGGGGAGTTTAAAACTATTTTTTCATTATGCAGCTGCAGAAAAAAATATTGATCTGTCCTCTCTACTCTTTTTCCCCTCGGATGCCTGAAGTAAATAAGATACGAGAGAGAGCAACCAGCCCCGAGTATAGTATTGAAATACATTTTTTCATCTAGTAATGCATATAATTGGGACATCTTCCCCGAATGTGCTGCCATCGTTGCAGCAGTGTTAGCCTGGTCAGACTTGATCTGAAGGAGGTGGATCGTTTGTTTGCCTGGAAGCTCACGTTACTGAAACAGGCATTCGCACAGCTTACGAGAAATGTCAGTGGGTTGTGGCTCGTACCGATTGATGCAGCATTTGCTGTGGTGTAGGCTGCTGTCAAGGTGGGCTCGGTGAGCTTTCAGTCTGTTCCCAGCTGTGTGTCTAATTAAAGGAAAGTTTATCTTGAACAGTAAGTATGATGGTAACTGGAGAATGTTTATTGTCCCTTTCCCGTTTCCAGGAGTTCAGTTTCCCGTGTCTCTCTTTAGTTCGTGTATCAAGGAGGCGGCTTTCATTTTCCAGAAATTGTGGAGTGGTAGAAAAATAGGGAAGGGAGCTGAGGCATGAATAAGCTAGTAGTTTAGTTTTATTCAAAGAGATGTCAAGGAAGCAAAATCTAGAGCTTGAGAGGTAAGGAGAATAACTGCCCCTGCAAAAAGAAGCATTCAGATTAATCCTGTTACAGTACTGCCTCAACAGAGACTTGGGATGATGAAGGCTGAGGTTGATACCTATTCTTCAGCCTTTTTCCTACTGGTGCTTCAGCTCGTTTCCTTAGACTCAGAGAGTTAAAAGGAGGTCTGTAGTGATGAATCTAAGACAGAGAGGCAGATACAGAAAGGAAGAAATTGAGTGAGGGCATTTTGTGAGCAGCTGGCCACATGTCCCACCACAGCCGTTCTCTGGTGGAGTGTTAACAAGATGCACAGGTTGTTTGACGGAGAGCCCTGCAGTTTCCCTGGAAGGGCTCTGCTGGACCTGTTGAACCACTTCTGCTTGGTCCAGAGGAGATGCCAACGTGCTCCTTGAGATTCTTTGTGTCTGGGCAGCATCACCATGGTTGGTGAGTTCAGAAAGAGCAGGGTTTCCTTGGAGAACTTTTTTGTTTGGGAGTGATGTTTTATGGATAAGTTGGTAACATGGTCAAATTCCCAGGAAGCTAATGGGGAGGAGTGCAGCAGCTTCGTGGACAGAGTCGGGGACTGGAGGCTGCTTCACATAACGGGGAGCTTTGCAGTGCTTTCACCTTCCGAGAGTATGTGCAGGTGTATTTATTACCATTTTCCCTGGGAGGTGCCTTTACTGTCCTGCATCGGAGGAATTCCTTTTTCCAGATGATGCTCTGGTGTCACTCTCACAATGTTGTTCATCACCTAACTGCCTTTTTGCTCCCTCCAACTCTAGCTCACTCCCCAGAATTGCCTTGTCAGTCACTGCTTTCTTCATTAGCTGTAGTTTTTGATTGCTTATTCCTATCTACAGCTCAATCAATCCTTCCTTTCCTAAAGGACAGAAAAGACTACGTGCATTGAATGTTGTATCATGCTGTTGATGTTTGCCATCGGTATAATAATGCTTGAAGATTTTGATAACTGTTTTATTGGTTTTAGTTATCTGTTTAAGAACATTACAGGTTTGCTTATTATGTCTTTAATGGTGTTAGTTTAATGGGGAAAATTAACTCTTAGGATTCTGGTGCTTTTTAGATATATTAAGAGATATGGGAGCCCTCTGTCATGATTACTATGATCTGAGTCTTTTGACAGTCTCGTTTCTTCTATACTCCTTGCCTTTTTAGTATTTTTGTGGTATTTTATATATTTGTTTTCTCCTCTCAGATTGAGCTTCTGTATTGCACAGTATATATACGATGGTGATTACCTGGGCAGTATAGACAATGTGTATTAATATATATTGTGAGGCCCACAGATGTGCTAGATCTCTCTCAGGAAAAGCAGTCTGTCTTCTAACGAGCTTACTGTGTAACTTGCCCATTTTTGTATTTTACTCAGCTAAATTTGAAATATTCAAGTGTTTGAGACAGTTGGGCCCATCGAACCAACCCTCATTGCACTCAGGGGTTGTATTTGACCTTGTTACATCTTAGGACCAATTGAAGACAGCGACATGCAGCAAATGTAAACACACCATCAGCAAAACACAGTGATTTCCGTCTGTTATAGAAACACAGTGATTTCCTGTTAAATGTTAATTTAATGATCTGATTAAGCAGTAACATTTCCAGTACATGGGAAGGACATTTGGAGGAAGAAGACAGGCCTGATGGTAGGAATTACTTGGTTGAACAAGTCCATTTCTTTTGCATTGAGCTAAGGTGTGTGTCACAGATGAGCAGCTCCTCTGAAATGTGAGAACAGTAAGCTTGCTTAAAAGAGTAGCATTTTGATGCACAAGGGTAATAGCTAACAGATTTTTACAGTACCATATGGTATTATTAACAAACAAATCGTATGTTAACTTGACAGTTCTACCTTCAAGCTAACTTAGTCTGCAGCAAACATAAATTCTCCTGAGATGAAATCTGGAGACAATATTAAGCTTTGGGATTGTATCCAGAGCAGTAACAGTAGCGCAGCAGCGATGAATTTCGGGCTTTCTAACCATAAATACATGTGTTCCCAAAATTTATTGGTTTCTTCATCAGCCTTGCAAAAACACAGCAAACCAAAACCCAATCTGAGCAGGTGGAACAGGGAGCGTTCATGCATCTGCCTAACGGGACTGCAGGGAGAGGAGCTGCAGTTTGAAATACATTTTTCCTGATGCAGAGAGCTGTGATAGACCGATGGATATTTCATCTGGTGCACTCTGCTGCTGAAACCTGAACTGCGGCTCCGCTCGACTGCAGTCCTGGAGCATGAGCTAATTCCACCGTGGCTGCGGGCTGGGGTCCTGAGGCAGCGAAGGGCAGGAGCGAAGAAAGGAACGTGTGATGTGGAGGAGGGAGGAGGGCGAACGGGTACATTACTTTTAACTGCCTTCTTGTTTAACCCCCTAGCTGTTTTCAAATTTTCTAACTGAAATCTCATCTTGGTACAGTGTATAAATCCCCTGAATACGAATCTCTTGGATTTGACCTGACCGTAGAAAGATTAGTTTCCATTGGATACCCTCATGAGCTGCTCAATTTTGTGTATGATCCTGCATTCCCTACCAGGTAAATGACTAACAGATACTGACCCAGCCTGCTCGAGGCCTTGAATATTTGTTCTGTAAAGTTCATAGGCAACACGTGAGGCCAGGTTTTCAGAGTTGTGTCTGTGAAGCCTGTGGTTGACCACAGATTGTGGGGAAGGGAGCAGACTGCTCCAGTATGTGGAGGGCCTTTGCACACATGAATTCATGCCAGCAAAGAGGGAGTGTGCAAGAAAAGAGGCCTGCTGAAAACATGGTCCAAAAATAACCTTTCAAAGCAAAGACAGCGGAGACACAATTGGATTGGGAGTTAAATCAAAATTAAGGGGAGAAGGATCTGTTACTGTCCATGAGGCTGCTAGAATGTCTCAGGACATTTTTCCGTAATGATTTTAATTAATAGTGTCCTGGTGCATAAGACATCCTGAAAATTAAGCTGACAGTAAAAAACAACAATAAAAGAGGGACCAATCCAGTTCACTTGTCTAGGTGAATCAACCACCGAAAGCAAAGTTAATGGTGCAAAGTTACTAAATTCTTAGATTTTGTCTTTTGGTAGCAGAGCTAAAAAGGACATTGCTTGTTTTAAACAAGGCTTTTGATCTAACTCTGCGCCTTTAAGTTGTTTCCACTTGTGCCTTTGCTGGATTTTGCTTTTTTGACTCCTTTGGAGCTTCTTTACAAAAGACTGGACCAGAGGGTCTGTTGGCTTGTTGTTCCAGTTTTCAGTCTGGCAGCCCCCTTTCTTCCCTCCTCTCAGCATGTTTTACACTGAGACTGTTGCTGGGTGCGCCCATCCCTGTAACAAGACAGTAGCCCTTCACAGACCTGTGATGAAGACTCCGTTAAATCCACTGCCTTCATCCCAGGGAGGGGACAGAAGGGATGTCTCTGTGGGAAGGCTGCGTTCTCCAGATGCAAGCTACTAGTTAAGTGAGACAGTTTTGCTGGAGTTGGAACCGGGAATGTCCAAAGCATTTTGTGCAATAGATGCCCCATCTGGCTCTGCCTGTGACAGAGCGATGAAAAAGAGGGGAGAAATTCCTTTATCGCACCTCGCTCTTCCTTGCAGCCCTGCAGGGCTGTCAGGGAACCACAAACACAGGTGTCAGATTCGTGACCCTGTGGAAGAGGCCCACATCTTCCCTGGTACGTGCATAGCTAAGCCTCTGCCGGTTAAACGGTTCCGTTTTCAAGTCTGTGGAGAGCAGGTCAGCTGTGCCTTTCACCTGGCAACGCAGGGCTCTTGGTGCTCACCTGCAGCCAGGTAAAAGGGACAGTAGGGACCCCATCTGCATAATAGCAGCAACTCTGTTCTGATGCCCCACGCCAAGTGAGCAGGCTGTTCTAGAGCTGATTGGGAAAGAACTGCTGTTAAAATGGTCACGGCTTAATATGCTCTCTCCTTCATATCTTAAATCGCTTTCTTAACAGAGGCCTGGTGTTTGATACCCACTATGGAAACCTGTTGAAAGTTGATGCCTATGGGAACCTCCTAGTGTGTGCACATGGCTTTAATTTCCTCAGAGGGTGAGTGCTGACTCTGGGCTGTTCTTTTGGACTTAATGGGCTCTTTTGTGTCACTGATCCTCAGGGCACCCGTTGTATAAGGAGTCGCAGGGACTCCCCTGACAGCAGATGTTGTATTGGTGTTCCTACAGCTCCAGGATTAACTGGGGATGCGTTGAGGGTCCCAGAGACAGCAACAGCCCAGGGTGTTTATAGAGGAAAGTTCTGTGCCGGCACAGGCACATCTGTAGTGTGCTGGGAATAGATGAAAGTGTGCTGTGGGAAGGGGTTGATGGGGTAATCCCGGGGCTGTTCACCTGTCCTGGCAGAGTTCAACACCAGCAGCTTGTCAGTTAAGACAAAGCCATTGTGTGAGGGCTGCTGGGAGCAGAGAGGACCTGTGCCCTGTGAGACTGTTAACTCCACAGCCATTGCTAAGAAAGTTTGAGGGCCTCAGCTGGCTTGGGGAAGGAACAAGCATTCTCTGCCCCTTTGTGTTTGTGGCCTTTGAGGGTGTCAGAAGTGAGGCATTGCGTGCTGTTTCCTGCAGCCTTCCCGGGCTGCTTGCCTTCCTCTTGGCCCAGAGAAGGAGCTTTAGGAAGCAGAGGGGACCGCAGTGCTACGTGCTTGATGTGTCCCAGCAAATCCCCTCGTATCCCTGCTGTGAGGGTGGACGGATGGAAGGCAAGCGCAGGCTAGCTCAGGGCCCCTAAGGTGACAAGCCTGGTCATTGCAGGCCCGTAAGTCCTTGCATCAGGAAGCCAAAATTTAGAAAAAGCCCTTATACATGCACTCAAGTTCCTCTTTGAGTCAGAGGTGATCTTCAGAAGCTCCAGAAATGAAGAAAACCAGAATAATTAAATTACTTAAGTCATCGCCACCCTGCTGATTAATTGCAGAGGGCCCCAGGCAAGCCTTCCACAGCACAGCCGTGCACTCCCCTGCTGAAAGCTGCTCGGGGGAGTGTAAAACAACACATGGAAAGTGGGGGAAAGTTTAAGATAAGCAAACAATGAAAGTGCAGATGATTTAAGGCATCCTCATAGCCAGCAGCATGGGGTTTAAGGTCGAGTTCTGGACTCTCGACCACTCTGTTTCCCTGTGTGGGCTCTGCTCAGCTTGCTGACTCAGCGATGAGGGCTTTGTGCCTGGCTTTGCCGGAGCCAGCGCGGTGAAGGGAACACCAGTGGATGCAGTTTTGCTCTTGTGCCACTACTGCACATGGGAAAGCTGGGTGTTGATTAAAGCACAACAGACTCTAGTTAATGGACCCTGCCACAACTGTATTTTGCAGGTCAGCACATTTTATTGTCATTATTTTTTGTGGTTTCATTCTTCTCCACCTTATCTATTCTCAGGCCTGAAACACGGGATCAATATCCAAATAAATTTATCCAGAGGGATGACACAGATAGGTTTTACATTCTGAACACGTTATTCAATCTACCAGGTGAGTCTAATGTGAGCCAATACAATAAAGCTCTGCTAATGCTGTACTCTACTTGTTTATTTTTTTTTACATGAACGTTCTTCTTTTGGGCACGGGGCCTAAGTTAGCTGGCCGTACGATGTTATCCTTGTTTTAAAATCTTTCTTGCTTTCTTTGCAGAGACCTACCTATTGGCTTGCCTAGTGGATTTCTTTACTAACTGTGACCGGTACACTAGGTATGTATTCCCTCTGGTTCGAGGTGCTGATGGTAGAGTAAGGTTGTTATTACAAAGAGCAATACAGCACAGTTGGAGCTGTTCTTAATATCATTGGAGGCCCCTCAAGTGGTTTTGGTGGGGAAAAGTTCAGGCCTTTTATTCTTTTCACATTAAGAGAATTTAGTGGTGACAAGATGATCTGTGTATACAGCAGAGACTGGTTATGAGGGTTTCCTTCACAGGGTATATCAGTATCACCATAATGACTGACACTGGTATTTGGACCAGCTTCCAAGATCACACACTTATTACAGGGCGATTACAGGTACCAGACAGCTCGTTTTGAACCCGTGTCCATTGGAGCCATGTTTGAACTGGTAACTGAAAGGCTAAATTTCCCTAGCCAAGTTACCACAATTCCCTCATGTCATAATTGAGGCCTTTGTTCACTTAAAGGTGAAATGCTCAGGCACAGTGTGGTGTAAAAGGCTGTTTGTGCAGCATGAGTATTCACCTGCCTTTCAAATAGGTATAAGCATAAAAACAAGCTGCAGTTTGAACTGGCAAATGTGAATGCTGCTGTGCTGCTGATTCATGTGGTCATCTTTGCATATTATGTGAGTGGGAGGCAAAGGTTTAATGGGATTTTACCTGGGAGCAGAGGAACTGTTGACGCCAAAAATCCATCAGGTGAAGTGTCCCTTCTCAGGACAGGCATGGTGATTGCTGTCATAATAAATACAGCTCTGTTTAATCCTCCTTGATTTCTTCTGATGCAAACTCTCATGGGTGTCTCAAAGATACCTCCACAGTATCTTGTAGAGCAAATTTCTCATGTTAACTCTAACTGTTCAACACAGAATTAGTTCCTCCTCTCAGCAGTATTACATTTAGGTGATTTGCATGGCACCTCCTTCTTTAGTGTTGGAAAGAGGGAGAAAGAGCAGCACTCTGCTGCTTTCTCAGTACCATTAATCTTCTGTAAAATGATGCAAACTGCACAGTCTCAGTCTTTTTTCCTTCTTATAATACTGTGTGGGAGAAATAAGAGTTGCAGTCACAGAAAGCTGTAGTACTGCTATGGAGGCACAGGCCCATAGAGTTAGGAACTCACATCCTAAAATTGTAAACAAATGTTCTTGGGTAACACTCAGATCCTGTTAAACTCTGGTTGTAGCCTTCTTTCAAATCTGACCTGCGGTAAAGTAGTAAATAAGAAACCATTATGGTAAGATGAAAACACAAGCTCCACAACATTTTGAACTGTCTGTCTCCTTGACGTGTTTCTTACCTGCTGTGATTGGCCGCTACAGTCTCTGTTCTTTCTCCTCACAGCTGTGAAACAGGGTTTAAGGATGGAGACCTCTTCATGTCCTTCAGGAGTATGTTCCAGGATGTCAGAGATGCTGTTGACTGGGTTCATTACAAGGTGATTGCAAGAACTCCTTGGGACGTCTGTATTTGTAACTGAGTTAGAGGAACTGGTGTGTAAGTCATGAGTTAAGACGTGTTATTCCACTTTTGGGCAAGAGCCCTGCTTTGCCGCCTAGTGAGCAAATAATAAATTGCAGTTGTATGTGCATAAGTCAAGATATCGACTGCCCTCCTAGTACTGGAACATATCTGTCTTGGCTTCCTATTCCTTTTTATTGTGTGCAGATTCCATTTCTATACTGTAATTCACGGGTTTTAGAATGTGATACCATGAGGGTATTTGCACTTACAGTCCACAGCTTATACATTGTCCTAATTATTAAAACAGCATTTTACTATAAATGGTTTACATTGGTACTATCTTACATTGTCTGAAAAGTACCTGAATTAAACAGAGAAATACATCAACCCTCCTCTATTTAGAGAGGAGAGGCAGTTCATCTTTTTCACACACTTGTGCACAAATTTAGAATATAATTTTGTGAGCATTAACATCTGGTTAAAGACCTGATTTTCTTGTTCTTCCTCATTCAAGAGGACTGTTGGGGTGGGATGGAGAACCATCACAGGAGAACTCTGTTCACAGTTGTACTTGTGGTGGTCCTTTTAGCCATGCAGAAGTCAGGAATCTATTTTTCTTTCCTTATGCAGTGTTGTGTGATACATGTTGGAGTTGGCCTTTGAGTAAAGCATTATGGTCAGTGTTGGAGACAGGTCGTTGACTGTCTTGTTTGGTATGGCAAATCTATTTTTTGTTTGTTTCTATTGTATTCCCTTCTGAAAGGGTTAAAATGCTGTTGAAGTGGATTATTTACCATGGTGAGGGAATCGATGGATCACAGAGTTTGTGATGGTCCCTGCTACTCAAAGCCTCTCATCTCTAGAGTCACTGGTTCAGATTCGCCCTGGTTTGTACTTTCACAGCATTTTAAAGTGTGAAAGTTGGCATTACTTTGATGTCTTGTCATAAGTTTCCATTACCTCACTGGATTCTGTTGTTTCTATTTCAGGGATCGCTCAAGGAAAAGACCCTTGAGAATCTGGAAAAGTATGTGGTGAAAGATGTAAGTGTGAAGTTACTTTACTTGTGCTACGTGACCTTCTATACTGAGTAAGCAGGCAAGAAATAAACATGCTGATTTGCTTTACTAAATCACAAAACAGATAACGCTGTGATTTCTATTGTAATAACCAAAGACAAAGTGGAAAGTTCGGACGCAGCCTTTATTCTGAGCCAGCGATCCACATGATTTCGTATTCACGTGCACGTTTTTTACGTAAAATATAAAAGCCAGAGGAAATGTTATCACGGGACACAGGTGAATATGCTGGCAAGGCTCATCTTGTTTCTTCTGGTGGTGAAAGCAACCGTGTTCCCTGCCCATGTTTTCTCTGCCCAAGCAGACCTCTTTTTAAAAAGCAACAGATGAGCACCTTTTTAGACAGAAATATTCCTTATCCATTCAACAAAAATGTTACATGTGTTTAACCATGAGAGACTGGGGGAAAGAGCCTGAAAGACTCACCAGTGTCCAGTCTCTTGGTAGCCCCAAAATGTGTGTTCAGCACATGTAATTGAGCAAGCTCCAGTGGTTCCCTTACCTTTGCCCTCTCTGCAGTGTGCAAGGCCCCTCTGGACCACTTACAGATAATTATTCTTCAGTTTAGATGAGCTCTGTGGTAGAGTATCACTTTAAAGCAGTTAACCTTGTTTCTAGTTACATGCCTGCAAAATTCTTAGGAAACTGTTCTGTGAGGTAATCAGCTACTCTGGCAATGGACTGAGATTTATGATTCAATAAAAATAGCCCCAGGAATAAATTCTCCCTAATTTGAGGTTGGAATTATAATGCGCTCCAGCTCACGGCTCGTGTGAGCTCAGATTTCACCTGCCTCTGGGCCCATTTCGGGAATGGACTTGGAGCTGGAGGAGCTGCTCCAGCGTGCCTGGCGTGGAGCAGATAGGTGGGAGCAGCACAGGGTGCCTGGCACTGTGGTTGGCAAAGGCACCGCAGCCCTGCTGAGCCCTTCCCCCTCGCCTTCCTCCCCTGGGCTGTGCTCTGGAGGGCTGTTATGTGGACCGACCAGCAGCTTTCCTGGCTCTGGCCAGTGCAAAACATGTGAGTTTGCTTGCTTGATGGTTTGATTTGCTTTGTTTTGTCTGGTGGGATCATAGTTGAGAGTGTTTTGCCCATGATGAATCTCTGTAACTTTTGTGTGTGACTTGTACGTCCCTTGGCTTTCAGGGGAAGCTGCCACTGCTGCTCAGCCGCATGAATGAAGTTGGGAAGGTGTTTCTCGTCACAAACAGCGACTATAAATACACAGACGTAAGTGCTGCTTGAATTGTTGTGTCGATATATAATGGAATATATCCCAGCCAGCCATTCATTTGTATGGGTTTTGGTAGGACATCTTCGGGTGGAGAATCGGGTGTTTTCTAAGCTAGGTGTAGGATGGTTTAGTGGTGAATGCAGATTAGGTCTTGAGTCATCTTTTGTAGTCCTGGTTCTGCTACTGACCTAGTGTGGGCCTGGCCTAAGTCCCTCTGTGCCTCGTTCAGTTACTCAGCAATTAAAAGGCTGAAAGTGATACTCATTTTAGATTTCAGCATCCTTTAAAATGCAGAACTTCCCTTTCAAGTGAGATAGTCTGAGTACAGACAGGTCACCAAAGCCGTGGTCCTGGAGAGGTCTAAGAGCCAGAAAGGGGTGTCTGCTGTGTAGGAATACACATGGTTACTTCAACTCTAGGTAAATGTCAGGATGTTGCAACACTGCTAATCCAAAGATTTCTATGCCATTTTAAAGCATTGAAAGATATACCTGAAGCAGTGTGCAGATTTCCTGAGGCAAACGTGTTCTTTGATTATAAAAATTACTGGTTTAATTCCTGTCACTTTAAATTCCATCCATTCATTTTGTCTCCAAATCTTATGCTGACTTCCATGTAAATCCTGAAAATAAAGTTCTATAACCTGAAAAGATAAAAGCAGAAAAGTATGCTTTTATAAACTACACAAATCTATGTTTAAAAATGCATCTTTGAATACTTCCTTTCTGTCTTTCAGAAAATCATGACTTACTTGTTTGACTTCCCACATGGACCAAAGGTATGTGATTTCTAGACTGCAGTTCCGATAGAAACTGATGTGCCTAATTATCTGTGTAGCTGGAAAGCATTTTAATCCTGCTTCATCGGCTGCATGGGATTAGTTGCTTTAATCTGGTTAAAATACACTTGCTGGTTTGTGTCCTATTTGAATGGGATCAAAGCAAATACAATATAACAAAGAGAAAAGAGGCATCATCTGGTCTCAAACAATAATCTGTGTTAATGATAACATTATTTTAGTGATAACACATTTTAACTGTGGCATTTTGCAGCCAGGTTTCTTAGAAATCTCGCACAATGTTTTAGATGTTGTTAAAAAAAACCTTGATGGAAAGGAAAAAGTTTTATAAAACAGCAGAAACATTTATGGCTGATTGTGCCTTGACGATGTTAACTCCAAAAGTTTTAGTCATACTTTTTCTGGTTTTCTGAGGTCAAAACTCAGCCCTACAACTTTTGGAGAGAGGCTTATGAGGTAAATTTATACTGCTTTCTCAGTGGGAGGCTATCTCACGTAAAAGATGTTTTCACAATGGGCTATAAAGGTAGAAGGTGGCCAAGGGAGAAATTTTCAGAACATGGAAAATCACCACAACTGATAGCTCAAAAAACTCCTTGCTATGGTCTTGATCTCAGAAAGAGCGGAAGCATGGAGCAGAAAGGGCTCATGAATGCCCAGTGTCCTTCAGGCAGGGCTGTGATTCAAAGCCGTGCCCTCTGGAATCGAGTCCAGGCATTTTCCCACTTTTGGCAAATGTACCAGCATGGCCTTGTAAGGCTGAAGCCGTGAAGTCGCCTGTGTCTGGATCTATGCAGGATGTCACCTTCAGAAACAGTGGCAGCGGTGTCGTTTACAGCATCTCTTTACATGGCAGCTGTGCTGTGACATGGATGTTGAGTGCAGTTCTGTCTCACACCACGTCCTCAGTCCTCATTGCTAGGCAGGGTTGGGATGGGCTTGCCACAAAAGAGGAGTGCTTTAGGAGATGGCACTGGCAGCCCAGCATCGTACAAGAGGCAAAAGCTAGGGTATTTTGATGGATGAGCAATGTCATCAGGCTATGGCTATGGACAATTGTGTTGTGTCTGATTCTGGCGTTTGGTTTTGCCTTTGCAGCCTGGGAGTGCCCATCGGCCATGGCAGTCCTACTTCGACCTGATCCTCGTGGATGCGCGAAAACCCCTCTTCTTTGGGGAAGGCACCGTGTTGCGGCAGGTGGACACGGTGAGTGGCATATGGAGGGTACCTCTATGGCTGGAAGGGCTCGTGCGCCTCCTGTGTGGCGTCTCTTAGTGGCAACGGGCAACGCAGTGTTTAGACAGGACCTGCCCTAGAGATGGTGGGCTGGCTTCTCGTAGTGATTCCTGAGCAACCCCGTCAGCTGGGGCACAGCAGAGCTCGAGGCTTTGCTGGCTTCCCTAATGTACCGCAAGTGGCAACAGGAAAAGAATGTGGAAAGCCACCTCTAGGCTGCCGGGGAATGAGAGAGACGGAGAGTAAACTATCAATAGAACAGAAAAGATCCAGACCATCAGCTGTTCTGTACTAACGCAATGTCTCCTTCCTCAGGTGACCGGGAAGCTGAAGATTGGTACCTACACTGGCCCGCTGCAGCACGGCATCGTGTACTCAGGAGGTGAGGCAAGAACCCTTCTTGTCCTGTGGAGTGGCTCTGACATGCCCTCATGGTCTTCAGCCACTCCGGCTGTGAGAGGACTTGCGCCAGGTGCTAGGCAAGGTTGTTTCCCAAAGCGCAGTGTACCGTGCCCTCTGCACACTGCACCAGAAGTTCTCCATCATCACTGCTGCCCAATGCAGGGAAGCAATGGACCTGTTCCTCCTCAAACGCCCTTTTCTTCCTTGCTGGGGAGGCTCTGGGAAGTGCCACTGCGGGGCTTGTGGTGGAGGGGGAGCTGCAGCTGGCCCAATGCAACGTTCCCAGCTGTACTTACAGCGCTGCCACCAGTGTGACCACGCTTGGAGGGTCCCCTGAGCCAGGGAAGGGCAGCGGGTAGATACACAGGGCTCTCTGTGACGCCCAGGGCTCCATTACTCTCACACGGGGTGGGAGGCAGCATGGCCCCTCTGCTGCTGCCATTCATGGGGGGGTGTACTTGGGCAAAGCTGCCCCTGGGTCAGCTCTCAGGTGCCCCGTGCTGCCATGGCCAAGCAGGGGTGCTACGTTTAGCAGTGGAGGCTTCTGGGAGGAAAATGCACCTGCTCTGTCCCTAACCCCGGCCCTCTGAAATGAGCCACGTGTTTCCTTCTGGCTGCCTGTTCTGAGCCATGCCATTTTTCTCTCAGGCTCTTCAGACACAGTCTGTGACCTGCTGGGGGCTAAAGGGAAGGATATCTTGTACATCGGAGACCATATCTTTGGAGACATCCTCAAATCCAAGAAGCGCCAGGGCTGGAGGACCTTCCTGGTGATCCCCGAGCTGGCGCAGGAGCTACACGTCTGGACAGACAAAAGTGGTCAGCAGCTGGGCAAACCCCAGGCCAGGCTTTGCTCTTTCTTGCCTGGTGCTGCACCCCTGAGATTGCCAGGGCGTAGGATACAGGGGAGAGATCACCCTGGTTTGCCGCTTCTCCTTTCGGCCTGTTTTCCCTGGGTCTGGGTGTTGGTGGCAGGAGCTGGGGCAGCTCTCTGTGGGCTGGCCTCGGGGTCCCAGGCCTTTCCTGTGCTCTTTCCCAGGCTGCTTGCGCATGATCAGCCAAGCACTGACTTGGCTGGGGGAGAAGCTGTAGCTGGGTGGGGTTGAGTTGTTCCTCATCCATAACCCTGCCCCAAAAAACTCCTCTCCCTCTGCCTGTATGGAGCCATGGCTTCTCTGGTAAAAAGCATCTGACAAGACACCTGGGTTATTCTCCCTGTAATGCCTGAGCCATGACTGCTCTCCCATCTGCAGGGAGTCCCTGCTCACCAGCTGCTTCCTCCTTCCTCCCGCTCCCTCTGCTGCTCTGCTGCCAAAGTGCTGTGTGTTTCCCATCCTCCAGCGCTACTGCTTGTCTCCCAGGTTTGCCCTTTGGTGTGTAAATAGGTCTGGGGGTTATGCAAGTTGCCCCATGGCTGGATGGAAGGTTTTGGTGAGGGCTGTGAGGGTTCAGCCTCAGAAACAAAATGGGCAACCAGAAACCAAGCCCAAAACTCTGCCAGTGGCACAGAGCATGATTGAACCCTCTCCCTGCACAGTGGCCGTGAGATGCCCTGCTCCTTGATGCAGAGCTCCTCCACCGCCATGCAAGGGGAGTGGGCAGGATGGTGGGTTTGCTTTCAGCCCTTTTCATTTCAACAGCTTAAACTTACCTTTTCCCCCTTTCTTTTCTGGATTTTCCAGCCCTTTTTGAAGAGCTGCAGAGTCTGGACATTTTCTTGGCCGAGCTATACAAGTGAGTGTTCAAACAGTGACAACTTTCCTGCTGCCTCTCCCAGCCTAGCGACAGCTAACGAGCGGCTCTGACGAAACCTTGGGGTTGGCTTAGCGGCACTGCTGCCGGAGCTTTGACTCAGGCCTGGGCTCTGCCCACGAGACCAACCTTCCCCTCCAGACCAGCCTCCCTCCCCCGAGCCCCCATCCCACAGCATCTGGTTCTGAAAGGCTTTTCACACCATGTATTTACCTTCTCGCCTGTAACTAGGCATCTGGACAGTAGCAGCAATGAACGCCCTGACATCAGCTCCATCCAGAGACGCATTAAGGTACCAATCATAAAAATCCCTTTTCATCCTTTTGGATCCCAAAGGGCTTGACAACCCAACCCCACTGCTCAGCCCTGAAATGCTTTGCTCTGCCTTTGGGTGGGCACGGCAGGCTTGGCAAAGCCGTTCCGTCTTTGTGGGCGCAAACGGAGGAGCTTCTCAGCTCACTGGTGTCACTGGCACTCCTGAAAGGCAGCCTGGTCTGGAACAGGGTCTCCTTCCTCATGCACACAGCAGCACTGACCGACGGTGCTCACTGCTGCAGAAGGCGGCGCTGGCACACACAGGCTTGGAGGGGCTGTGGCCTCTGGTTCAGCCAGCCCTGGGGTGCCAGCCTGGGGCGGGTGCTGGCCCTGAGCCCGCTGCTGCCTTTCCCTCTGTTAGCTGGGACTGGGCTGTGCTCTGATGCTGCGGGACAGGGGCACAGAAAGCCTTGCTGGAGATCCTTGCAGATCTCATGTAGCCCCCAGCCCTCAGTGTGTTCTACTTCAGCGTTGCCGTGGCTCCACGCTGCTGCCTGCCCGGCCCAGGATCTAACCTGCCCTTTGCTTGTAGAAAGTGACCCACGACATGGACATGTGCTACGGGATGATGGGGAGCCTTTTCCGCAGCGGCTCTCGGCAGACCCTGTTTGCCAGCCAGGTGATGCGCTACGCTGATCTCTATGCAGCCTCCTTCATCAACCTCCTCTACTATCCCTTCAGCTACCTCTTCAGAGCCGCCCACGTCCTGGTGAGTTGCAGACCCCGGGGAGGTGGGCAGGGGTCCCAAAGGTGCCTGCGCTTGTGTTTGTTAACACTTCCACAAGCCGCAAGCAGCAGGAACGGCACCTTGGAGGGTTGGGTGGCATTTGATGCACCATGGGCCAAAGGGTCACGCTCTGGGGTTTGCTCTCCATCTGCCTCAGGGAGATACCCTGGGACTGGGACAGCCCTTGCCATCTCCTCTCTCTCTTGCATGTGTAGATGCCACACGAGTCCACGGTAGAGCACACGCACGTCGACATCAATGAGAAGGAGTCGCCGATGGCCACGCGCAATCGCACCTCAGTGGATTTTAAAGATTCTGACTACAAGCGGCATCAACTGACCCGCTCCATCAGTGAGATCAAACCGCCCAACCTCTTCCCCCAGGCACCTCAGGAAATCACACATTGCCACGATGAAGATGATGATGAGGAAGAAGAAGAGGAGGAAGAAGAGGAGGAAGAGGAAGAGGAATAAGAAGGAAGCAGCAAAGCATCTCTGAAGATAAACCGTGACTCTAGCAGTGATCAGGAGCGGATTCCTTTGTTGGGGCCCTTGGGGTGATGGGTTGGGGGGGTGTGATTCTTGCAAAGGCACGTTTCGAAAGTGTCTGGAAACTTTTAACAAATTAACACTAATTAAGAGGAGACCCTTGTTTTCAGTTTTGCAGACGGTTCAAAAAGCTGATGGATTCTGCCTGGGTGGTGCATTCAGATTGGACTGCCCGCCTGTGCTGTCATGCTGCTCCCATTACCTGTAGGGATGCTGCGTGTTTCTCCATGTCCCATGATGTGTTTCATTTGATTTCCATTTGAACGGTGTCCTGTGAACGGTTTTTGCCATTTGTTACATTCACTGTGGAGAAGGAAGGGATGTGCTGGGCCCTGCAGGAGACAAAATGATCCAAATTCTCCTTCCCGTTGGGTTGCTGCCCTTAACCCTCTGCTTCTGGGTTACAAACTCCCCCTCCCTGTGTTAGGCAGGGTGTCGCTGTGGCTTCCAGCACTCAGTTTACCCTCTGCTTGGTGTGAGTTTCTCTGTGCAAGTGGTTGGATTCCTCCGGCTGTCACGGATGGCGGTGGGATTCCAGCTCTTGCCTATCCGCAGCTGTACACGTTTCAGCTTGTAGATGCTTGTTATCCTCTCCAGTGTTTCAAATCTCTCTTTCGTCATCGGCATGTGATGCATGATTTCCAACACATTTCTCAAACAGCTGAGCCGCACACTGTGTTCTCAACTCCTGTACTTTCAGCAGTAAATATTAACCCAGGAGCTTGAAGCTACTGCTTTAGCATTATGTTAGTCGGTTTGTTTTCCTACTGCCTATTAGTGACCTTTCTGTCCACTCAACGTTAACAAAGTGAAGCATCCCAAAGACAAACCCAGCCACCATCTGGAGTGAAAGGGCCTGTTATTCCAGGGTGCTGCAGGCCACGCGTGTCTGCCCTAAACTAGGAAATGGCACGTGCCACAGGGCCAGCCCCACGATGGGAGTCGGGAAACGCCAGTCCGCCTGGCAGCGGCCCTCGTCTTTGGCCTGGCACGGAGCAAGCAGAGCCTCATCGCAGGTTGCGGTGGGCAAGGCTGCGTCCCTGGCCAAGGAGGGCGACGGCTGCAGGCTGCCGTCCGGGGACCAGGAGAGCCCCACGGGGATGGGCAGGCGGTCCTCGTGCCTGAAAGCCAGGCAGGGGAAGGCATGGGGCTGGCGCGCAGCTGGGCAGCAGCGCCCTGCAGTTCCCCTCCGTGTCATGGGTGCAGCCTCCCTTACTCCAGCCTGTGCCGTTCGCTGTGAAGGGATTACAACGAGGGCCCTCTTGTAACGAATTCGACTGTTGTTTCAGTACCATAAACTCATTTAATCTTTTTTTTTCCATTTTAAAGTACCTTAGAAGAAAATAAAAAAAGAAAAACCATACCACAACATCTGAGCAGGAAACGCTGCTGCTGTAGTGGCAGTTGTTCAAGTCAATAAATGATGATGTTTCTAAAAAACGCCTGGCGCTTTGTGGTGTGTCGCTGTGATGATGAGGGCTGTGCTGGAGGTGGCAGGAGCCAGGACAGGTCTGTGGGGGTCCCAGCAGGACAGGTAGCTGAGGAAGAGGGAAAGCATCTCCGGGAATGGGTTGTGTGAAGCATTGTGGAGCAGTGGCTGTGGATCTGGCTCTAAGGGCTTGTCTGGTCCCTGGGGAGCAGGTGGGCAGAAGAGATGGGGGAGCACAAGGCTTTTGTCCCCATCGGCTTCAGCCAGGAGGCACGGGGAGGCAGAGAAATGTTTTGGCCTGGATTCAGAGAGCGAGGAGGGGATTTTCCACAGCTGGAAGGGCAACACCCGTGCCCTGCCACTACCTCCAACATCGCACCTTTCCAGGGCTGTTTCCCACAGGCGTTACCAGGGGCTGCTCCCCACCATGCCTGGCCTGTGCCCAGGGTGGCACTGGCGGCACAGCACGGCCCACGCTCACCAGCAGCTGCCAACCTGCTGAGAAAAACACGCAGGGAAGGCCAGTGCTGCCAGAGCGACGGCACCGGCCGGCCTAGCCAAGGGCTGCGCGGACCCTGTGCCCGGCCGAGACGGGGACAGCCCTGGGGACAGCACATTGCTGCGCTCAGCCCTCGCCTATAAACCCCTCGTATCGACCAAACCAGACCAGATGAGACCTCGCCATCAGAGCTACCACCGAAGGGTATTCAGTACCCAGGGCCCAAAGTGCCAAATGGAAAAGCGACACTAAATGGCTGCAGATGGCAGCCAACAAGCCACAGCTGGCACTTCAGGGATTGCTAAAAGCCCCAAACCCAGCACTGGGTCCCTCACCCCTTGATTTTGGGGTCCGGAGAGCAGCTAACGGTACCCACAGCGATGCTGGCTGCAGGAGGGGTTTGAGGGAGCTGTTCCCGAGCCCTTTCACTAAAGGCCATGCTGGGCTTTGCTATGTTTAAACCTCATTTCTCCAAGTATAGTCACTTGAATTTTTTAAGCTTTAGCTCAGCAGCTGGGGAGGGCGTGCGGCTGCGGGAAGGGAGGTCTGGGGAGCTCCGTGCATTCCTCCTTCCTAACCGGTCACCACAAATAGCTCACTCCCAGCCCAGGGCTATTTCTGACTGCGATGGGGAGAAGACTCTTCAAGGCTGGAGCAATGGAAAGTATTTGACCCTCACTTGATGGTGGGAAAGCAGCGGGCAGAGCCTGACAGACACAGGCACTGCTCGTGCCTCTCTGCCCATCCTGTGGTGGCTCTGCCATGGCGTTGCAGTAAGAAACCACCGAGCAAGAGCAGGGTGAAGCCTCTTGCCCCGGCTGGCACAGCAGATGGCCACAGCCCTGTTTTTCTAGCCCACACCTCTGGCAGGCAGCTGCCTGCTCCTCTGGCTGCACCACTGCTGCTCCCAGGACACCGGTGGCCTGCAGCACCCGTGTCTCCAACCGGCTCTGCAAACCCCCAGGAAAAGCTGGCCTGAGCCGCAGCTGCTGCGAGGCTCCTGCCGCTCTCCCCGCAGCCCCTTCCCCACCCCACGGGACAGGCACGCGCTTGCCTACCGGCGACGGTCTCTCCTGCGGCAAAAGCCCAGCGAGCCCCAGGAACAGGCCTCATCCCTGCCCTGAGCTTCTGATTTCTCCTGCTTTCTCCACCACCACGTGCCCACCCTCACTGCTCCGCAGAGACAGAGGGGCTCGCAGTGGCTGCACCGAGCAAACTCTACCAGGGAGAGGAGCGCAAGGCTCGCTCTGCCCTTAGCCACAGCCCTGCAGCCATTTTGCGTTGGGCACTGCCAGCAAGTACTTCTGAAGAATAGATCAAAGTAACGAGAGGTGCTCCCAACTCCTCTTCCTCAGCAGCTGAAGCACAAACCCAGTATCAGGGTACGCCTAACCATGATGGAGGATGCAAAGCCCTCTGCCAGTCCCTGAGCAGCCGCTATTGCAACCTTGGCACCAGAAGCCCCGGCCACCTGCAGTGTCTATTGACAAAGCGATTTTGTAGGTGCAGAGCCACCAGCCCGCCCTGGCCCTGCACAAGAGTGCTCCCCTCCAGCAGAACGGCCCTGGGGCCTGCTGGGCTGCAGCGCGTGCGGCGGGAGCACAGGGCTGGAGCACAGGGCTGGCCCAGCCCTCACACAGGGGGTGAATGGTCTACCAGGACTTAACAAGCTGTAGGCACAAAGGGTGACCTTGAGCGTGACTCACACAGTACGTGAGACCTGGTCTTTAGCGCTGGGGTCCCATCCCAGCCACACAGGGAGGGCAGAGCGCAGCCTGGGTGCTGCTAAAGCCTCGAGGACTCCGAGCCCCGGCTGCTGCTGCCTTTGCTTCAGGCACGGCTCCTGCCCCGCGGCCACAGTGCAGCCAACACCCATCCCGCTTCCCTGCAGGGACCTGGCCTCTCGCACCCTCCCTTCCAGGAGCCCGGGGCTCCCCTGCCCTGCTCCTCCTTCCCGCTGCTCTTCACCACCAGAGCCAGCCCCAAAGTCTGCCTTCACATTAACTCTACTTACATCCTGCTTGCAGCATCCCACCATCCCGCCCGCTGCCGGGGACAGGCACACGCAGGGGAGCAGAGTTCCGCACAGGACCTGCCACTCTGCCCATCCTGCTGGTACAATGTTGGGGAGCGAGGTCCAGGGGGCTGGGGCCACCCTGCAGCACAAGAGGAGGGACAGAGGCCGCACTGTGTGCAGCAAAAACCCCCACAAGGCTTGAGCAGGCGCTGCCCAATTCACTAACCCAGAGTTTAGCAGCTCAAGCGCTGAGCAAGGAAGAGAGGCCAGCGCAGGGAAAGCAGCTGGGTGACATGGCTGCGAGGAGGACGGGTTGAAGGATGGCAGAAGCACGAAATGGGCACACGGCAGGGCTGTATCTGGCACGCAGAAAGGGTCAGCCGTTCCTCTGCCGGAGTGGAGGTGGAAGTGATGCTGGGCAGGGGACTAAGCACGGGCTCGCTCTCCTGCTCAGAACTGTCGCCGTCACTGCAGGCTCCGCACAACGCCGCTGCCAAAGTCCCAGCACCAGGGGAGCAGGCAGCGGTACCGCACGCAGGGGGAAGGACAGACTCACTCCACCAGCGACTCCCATCCAACGGAGCCGCCGTCGCCACCAGCCACGTCCCTCGCTGGCGATCCCCAGTCACGCACCACCCGGCAGGAACATGCGCTACGGACGGACAGACAGACGGCATCTATGCTTCTGGACAAACAAACATGATGTATGGAGAGCAGGTTGTAAATAAGGGGGTTTTATTAGTGGAAGAAAAAGGCCCTCACCCTTGAGGGAATTTCAGAAAGTCAGCTGCTTGCCGCTGCCACCAGCTTCCCAGCTCCTCGTCAGCAAAACCAGCAGCACAGCCCTCCCCAGCTCGAGGACTTACGGGCCCAGACCCACCAAAGCAAAGAGCAAGACCTGGCTCTAAGGGGAACAGGATCCGGCCTCTCTGTGGCTCTTGACAGCTGAAGTGGAGGTTAAAGACCGCTGATGTGCCAGTAGCAGAGATCGGGGTCCGGGATCACCGACATCAGCCCCACCACCCGCATGCCAAAATCCGTCCCTTGGAAATGAGGGGGGGAGCATGGAGGAGGGAAAAATGCATAAACTGGAATGTTCAACAGAAAAAAAATCATCATTTATCTAAAAAGAATAGAAATAAACAAAATGCTTTTAAACAAAATCACAAAATATACAAATAAATCTGGTACAAAATAAATAGGAAAGATTGGAAATCTACAACAAAATTGGAATAATTATAAAATTCATTCGTATGACAATCAGTATATGAAACGTATACACTTCATTCAGGATTTCAGTTGTGCTTATTCAGGTTTATGTACACACATGGAAATACTGTAGTCAGA